ACCACCGTAAAAAATGGTGTTCTCGCTGATCTCACACACAGCTGATCTCAGACCAAGCAGGAAGAACTCAAAAATTGTTCTCGCTGATCTCACACACAGCTGATCTCAGACCAAGCATTAAGAAAAGACAACCACCGTGCTCAAAAATGGTGTTCTTGCTGATCTCAGACACAGCTGATCTCAGACCAAGCATTAAGAAAAAACGCCAAGTCAAATCAGGAAGCAAGCAGTGAAAACGCCGCCCTCAAAGATGCAGCATTAAATCATTTGTGGTTAAGTGAAAACGCCGCCCTCAATGATGAATTAACAAAAGCTTGGGTTGCAGAACTGCCAGAACATCGTCTCCTGCAAAGCAGCTGACTTGGGGCCATCATTGAGGGCGGCGTTTCACTTAACCCCTAATGATTTAATGTTGTATCTTTGAGGGCGGCGTTTTCACTTCATGCTTCCTGATTCTATTCTCCAACTGTGTAAGCCCTCAAGTCGCTGATCAAGGCCTACAGGTGGATCTCAGACGAGGCTGATCTCCAACTATGTAGAACCTCAAGTCGCTGATCAAGGCCTACAGGTGGATCTTAGGCGAGGCTGATCTCCAACTACTGCATGTAGAGCCTCAAGTCGTGGGGGCGGCAAAATGGGGACAGGGAACTTGGGACAGGGAACTGGGGACAGGGAAGTGGGGGGCAGGGAACTGGAGGCAGCAAACTGGGGACAGGGAACTTGGGACAGGGAACTGGAGGCAGCAAACTGGACAGGGAACTGGGGGCAGGAACTGGGACAGGGAACTTGGGGCAGGGACAGGGAACTTGGGCAGGGAACTGGGGGCAGCAAACTGGAGACAGGGAACTTGGGACAGGGAACTGGGGACAGGGAACTGGGGGGAACTGGGGCAGGGAAGTGGGGGGCAGGAAACTGGGGGCAGCAAACTGGGGACAGGGAACTTGGGACAGGGAAGTGGGGACAGGGAACTGGGGGCAGGGAACTGGGACAGGGAACTGGCAGGCAACTGGAGGCAGCAAACTGGGGACAGGGAACTGGGGACAGGGAACTGGAACTGGGGACAGGGAAACTGGAGGGAACAAGGCACTACTTTGCGTCGTCGAGAGCGTGTTTTGCCAGGTCCTCAAGCGTGACCGGCTTTTGCCCATGTTCCGGGATGCTGCCTTGTGGCAGCTTGGATGCCTGACCTGCTGATTGCCGGAGCTTCTTGGATTGAGCCCTACCTGCACTTGCTTTTGTTCCTGGTCTTCGTTTGATCGGGGACTCCGAGGAATGTGACCATCCTGGGGATCAACTCCTTGTGGTGGCATCGCACTGCTGTACGCCCATTTTCTTCCAACACATCATTACTGACTGGCCGTGTGTTGGAGGATGCTGGACGATCGCCAAGGCAGTCACCCGCTTCATCCGATGGGTTGGCTTCCGCATCTTTGTCCATTGGCGTGAAAGTTTGACACACAAACTCCCGACGGAAAATCAAAAGCTCTCGTGCTCAAAACACCTAGTCAGTCAAGTGTCTCAACGACCCGAGTCGAAAACGGAAGAAAAAGCAGGCAAAAGACACGCGCACTTTTCGCCGCACACTTGAGCCAAAGTGACGAACGTTCTCCAAGGTTCACAAATGTTCTCGGGACATGTGTGGACATGCAAAACCATACTCAAAACAGTTCTACGCTTCACAAAGGTTCTAAAAACAGTTGGAAATAGGAGCTTCGTGAAGCGTTGCTTTTGAAGCAGTTGTGGCCACGCCGGCCTTTGGAGGTTCAAGAGGACCTGAATGGTCCTGGGTTTTTCCAGGGTCCCTGGGCATCCGCCATGGTGGTGAGATGGCTGATGGTGGCTGCCCTCGTCGCACATGGACGAGGGTGGTGGAACGCCTCGACGCCACCTGAGCCTTTACCAATGAAGCCATGGTGGCGAGGCAAGGTCGAGGAATGGGTTCCGGCGGCCACGCCTTGGTTAGATGGAGCCTCAGAGACTTTCTCCAAGGTGGCCTCTTTGACGGAACCCACGGCGGAGAGCGGCTTTGACTGGAGCCTCTGGACGTTGGCTGACTTGGCGTTCAGCTTGCTTGGCTGGACACTCTTCGGGAGCGCCTGGGCTGGAGTTCGAAACGGATGCAGGCGCATCTGTCAGTGCTGCATCCTTCTGGGATGCTGCATCATCGCCCATTACATCTGGGCGGTCTGTTGGCCGGTGGTGTCATTGGTGTGTGCGGTGATGATGACGGTGGTGTGGCTAGCTCGACGTCTCCTTCGCGCTCTTGGTGGGGTGGTTTTTGTGGTCCAACGTTTCTTGGGTGGAACGCCCGAGGCTTCGATGGCGGACTACTTCGGTCCTGGTACTGGACAACCACCCGAGACTGCTGAGCTCCGCAAGTTCAAGTATCACGCCAGCACCGACAAATGGGTGGTGATCAAAAAGGGTGACCACACAGCCGTCTTCAAGGTGTCCAACGAGAGCCACCCGATCAGGTCCAGCGGGGTCTATATCGGCATCAAGGTCGACACACTTCGGGGAGCCCCTTCGCTGTTACAGGAGCTGACGGGAGTGGACAAGGTGCATTTGTGCAGGAGCGAGGAGTGCAGCGAGCCCGGCTATCACTTCAAGGTGTACGGCTTGACCAAGAAGATCGACTACGAGAGCTTCAACTTCAACCAGGCGAACAAGGAGGCGATGACTTGGGGTTCGAGAGCGTGGCAGTGGGCGCTGGGCGGCTCTAAGAACCTGGCTGCGAAGGTTCGGGACTTGGGCTCCGAATCTGAACGGGATGAGGAACCATGCCAGGCTCATCGAGTCTTCTGGAGCACTGAGAAGGGAGATGAACGCTTGGCCCCGGCTCCTTGTTCGCATCAAGCTCGGGAGCGCACTACTTTGCTCAAAGAAGATCAGCTGGGTGAGCAGGATACGGTCCCATTGTGTGAAGGTCATGGTTCCCAATATATCCTGAAGCGCTTCGCCAAGAAGTGCAGTCACGCTGATTGTCGACGGCTAGGACACACTGGCCATCAAGGGCTCATGTTGTGTTGGAACCACGAGGAGTCGGTCAAGCAGCGTCGGGCGTCCCGGTCTAGGTCACGGGAACCAACACGGGACCACGAGCTGGAGGACAACCTGGGCGAGGAGGTGAACGAGCTCGAGGGTGACCGTGGGCTGAGATGGAGGCCTTCTGCGTCCACTACACCACGGAGGAGGAGTACTTCAAGGCGCTTTGACGACGGCTTCGAGGTGGTGTCGGATGGCGTGAGAGAAGGGAGAGCAGACAACCGAGGGAGCAAGGCCAGGTCTTTGCTTCAGGAGATGAAAGGTGCCCACGATGATGTGTGGGAAGATGAGCCAGACTCAAAGCGAGTCAAAACTACTTCCAAGTCACCGGGGAGAACACCAAAGTCATCGATTCACAGGAGCTTAGCAAAGCTGGGAATGCTTGACTCACCTGATGGGGGGCCGGAACGCAGCATCCTGGAGGAGTTCTTCGAGGTCTACACCGAGGGCAAGCACGAAGGCATGACGGAAGAGAAGGCTAGGGGAGTGCTATGCGACCGCCATGGCTCAAACTTCCAAGAGATCACCAGGAAGCTGTATGGTCAAGCTTGGGAGGAACAGCAGAAGGGTCAAAAGGGGCTGTCAAAGTTCCTACAGAAGTGGCGCAAGGATGCGCAAGAGGTTGCCCAACCTGTGTTCCCTCCATCCACTCTGCAGCCATCAAGTACTTGGAGTGTGGTGTCGTCCGACCCTTCTGGAAACCCCTCAAATCCCTCAAGTCCGGAGATGTCTGAGAAGGCAGGAGTGGGGGATCTCTTGGTTGGAGCTCCGAGGATCTATGGACGCAGCGCTGACCAGAAGGCAGGAGCTCGGGAGGAGACCTATGACCCCATGGCTAAGTTGACTCAAGCTATCCAAAACCAAACCTCCGAGATTGCCACATTGGTACGAGCGCAACAGGATTCAGGCCAACACCCACCAGGTTCAGTTCGTGGATTAGGTAGACAATCCGAAGAACTGGTCTACTTGATGCGTGCGTGCGACCAGTACGACGTGAAAGTCTGCCCTGGTGATGTGGGGGCTGCGCTAGCCAACTCTCTGCTTGCGGCCCAGGTAGGGGCTTCCACAAAGTTGAGGTCTTTGGGCTTCAGACAAAAGATCTCGACGAGGCTAGCCGTGGGGTTGGCAGGGCCCTACTGGGGCACAACTGATAAGCATGCTTTGACGGCCGCGGACTTCGTGCAGGTGACTGATGCTGAACTTGACGCTTTCGCCTCAGAGGCAAGACATCTGAAGGGGCCAGGGGAGCAGAGGCCAGCACCTCCGACCCGCCTCGACGAGTGGATAGCCCGTGTGAAACGACAGAACCAGGTGTGGGCACTCGCCTACGGCATGGAATGGCTGGAGGTCAGGGAGCACGCTTTGGATCTGCTGGCAGGTTGGCATCAAGATCTTCCCCACAAGTGGCCGCTGCAGATAGTGATGGACGCGTGGGAGGAACTCCACTGGCGTTTCATGGAAGAAATGAAAGAGGTCCTTCGTCAGTTGAAGAAGGTGGCAAAAAGGGAGTCCATGTCCCTGGCGGAGATCAGGTTCCATGCACTACTTCCTGGCCCAGAAGGACGCGCTGGGGCCTTGGGTTCAAGATGGAGCTGGAGCCTCGCATCGAAAGAAGACAGGAGCGGGCTCTCTGGCGCTTGACTTGGGGAGGCGACAAGAAGCAGGCTGCAGGGTTGCACGCTGGGGGAGAAAAGGAGGCTGAAGAGGACAGTCGAGGAGGGGGAAAACCTTCAACGAACCTCATTGGCCCGAAGCTCACCCAGGAGGAAGTGAACAAGGCACGAGATCGAGCACCTGTTGGAAAAGGGGGCGCATTACTATGTTGGTGCTATCTGACGCATGCAGGGTGCCATTCCGCTACTTGCCAACGGGCCCATGAGAACCTCAAGGGATCTTTCGAAGCTTTGGACCCAGCAGTTCAGATGCAACTACTGCGGCGGGGAGGCCTTCGTCGCATGAAGCAGGAGACGGCTGAGAGTGCGAGAGACAAGATCCAAGCCCTTCGCCAAGGAGTTCAGAAGGACAAGGCCTCAAAGATCAGCAAACCAATGCGGAAGGCGGGGGCTGACAAGGAAGACGACGGGGGAGAGAAGGCAGAGGAAGTGAAGGCAGGTGGAACCTGTACCGTCCACTTCAACGAGGTGCCGGAGGAGTTCGAGGCGATCGACTACACCAAGCAGGAGGACGTCAGGGACTTCGTTAACAGAGACGACCGATCCTGGGGGCTACCAGTCCGACATCAAGATCGTGGTTATTTCCCCTTCCAAGATTTCCAGGCGCCGGAGGAGGCCGTGAACATGGTGGACAAAGCCGAGAAGCTAGCGGCGGGCCCGGTTCTGGGAAAGTTGCAGGAGGCGTCAGATGATCTCTACGCGTGGGCATCGGCGAGGGTAGCTGCAGACGGAGAAGTTACGTTCGAAGAGCTCATGGGGGAGATGGTGGCCTACGGGGTAGCAGATCTCGCAGAGGAAGCTGCCATCATTCTTGAAAAACAGGGCGGCACGAGGGCGGGCGAGAACACTCGTCTGGTCGTGAGAGAAACTATGTGGGCCACCGGTGAACCAGGCCAAGGCTATGTGGAGGTGGATGGGAGATCCTGGAGGAGTTGGGACTACCAAGAGGAAGTCTTCATGTCCGAAGAGCTGGCGGGGATTCTTCAGCTGCCGGAGCCGGTGATAGAAAAAAGGCAGTGTGTCACCAAGACCTTGGCAGCCGGTATCCTCTGGAGAGAAAAGGGGCGACGCCCTACGTTGCAGGAGGTCGAGAATAAGGCTCGGGAGCAGAGGTTGGATCAGGCTCGGCCAGCGCTGGATGCAGCCACCCAGATGGGAGAGGCGGCGGAGTTCGTGACCCCAATCGAGCACGAGTTGAGGGTGTACCTTCATGACCTCCTACATCCAGCCCACGAACGCGACTTCCGAAGCCTAGCGGTTTTCCCTATCATGGAGCTCGGGGCGGCCAAAGTGGTGGTGGTGAGAGCAGATTTCCAAGGGAACTTGCTCGTGGAGACCATCGTGGGTCCGGATTGGGAAGATGGAGGCTGGATAGTGTGGACCTTGATCTGGAAAGGGCACATGGTGTTGTTACAACCACCAGCTGACTTCGATGGGCTGGCATGGTTGGCGGTGGAGGAGCGTCAAAGTACCCCGGTCCTTGGCTTCAATTTCTACTGGCATGCCCGCCACGATCAACCCGTGAGTGCCCCAGGACGAGTAGCGTGCCGGCTATGCCGCCCACCACGTCGAGCAGGAGAGACCTCACTCGGGTCAGGCCTGATCCGCCAGCATAGCACTTTAGCGGCAGTGGCCACATCCTATGCCAACATGTATGGATCCGGAGTTGCGGGTTCGACCACTCATCAACGAGCCGTACGAGGGTTAGCCAAGGGGGTGAAGCTTCTCCTCCGGTTGCGGTCTTCGCTGACCCGCACAATCGAGTTGGCTACCAGCCTCAGCATGATATCACTGACCCTTTGGTTCGTGGGCTTCATTTGCAACGGGCGGTTTCTGGCCCCGAAAACGTGTTCTGGATAGCCTCGCCGCGCACTACATTCTGTGATTGGCAACTTCAAAATGGAGGCACACGAACTTTTGCTCAGCCTCAAGGTGGCGGTCGAGGGCCCATTTTGGAGAAGGAGGTCGAGGTTCGCGGCGAAGGTCTTCGTCAACGCCTTGGACAACGGCGCCTTCCCCGTGGCGGAGTCCAGTGGGCCCAGTGGTCGGTACCCCAAGATGTGGGATTTACCTTCTTGGCAGGCCATTCTGAAGAGACCGGATGTGGCTTCTGCTGTCTTCTCTATGTGCGCTTTTGGGTTGGGACCGCCTGATGAACCTTCGGCTTTCTACAGGCACTATACTAGGGTGGTTTTTCCATCCCACGGCCCTCTTGCTCAACTGCTGCATCGTGTGTGCCCGGGGATCTCCTCAAATCACAGGCATGTGCCCCTGAAGGGCTGTCGTCCGGGAGTCACGGTTACCCGGTGCACGGAAGCAGGAGCTTACCCTGCGGACTTTATCAAACAAATTGCGCAGACCCTGCAGGCCTCTCTGACAGTTCTTTCAGCTGGGGGGGGGTATGGGTGGCCACCACAGAGTCGAGCAGGAGGTGAGGTCGACGGGGGGGGGTCAACTCCGCCGCCGATGAGGAGGTGCCGGAAAGAGACCACACCCACGGGGAAGGTCCCAGTGGTGATGAGGGCCCAAGGGCGGAGACCTATGTCAGGGAGAACCAGACGGATGGGGAGATTGCGGACAACTATGTCAGGGAGAACCGGACGAACGAGGAGTGTGTGGACGATGAGGGTGGCAACACTCGAGGATTCGGAACCTCAGCGGGGGCTTCAGACTCGTTGGAGGAACCTGTCAGCTCCCCATTTGAGTTTGGCTCGGAAGCGGAGGAGGCAGTAGAGGAACCATCAAGCTCGCCCTTCGAGCTTAGCCCCCAGGAGGTGAATGATGAACCGAGCGGAGTGTGGGCAAGCCCGGAGGGAACCAGGAACCTGGACAGAGGCAGACCGATTGACATGCTTATGGGGCCCCCAGGGGCGGCTTCTATCATTCTGCCCGATGAGTGGGTCGAGAGAGATGGACTCATTGTGGGAACCACTACTGCCGGCAGGCCAGACCTTCTCGCCGAACGTCTCCAGTCACTGTGGTCGAGCCGGATGAGTGGCAGGTGGACCGAGCCTCAGGGACAGTCACGGTCACACGCCGACAACCACGGAGAAACTTGTTCGTGCCGGGCCTTTTGGGTGACAACTTCCCGGGAGTCGCCTACCGAAACGAGCGGCTCACCAGGGCTTGGCCCGTGTCGAGACCGGGGCCGGAACAGTCGGGCCCCCCCATTTGCATGTGCGACAACTGGAGGATAGTGCATTGGCCTTTGGACGGGTACCACCACTCTGGTCTTTCAGGGCTATGGGCTACCTTGGCTGACGGACGCAGATAACGATCCAGGAGGAGCGGGACCCCATGAAGGCGGCGAGTCAGAGGAGGACATCGACGGCTCCACGGAGTATGAGGACGCTTCTCCATCAAGATCGCGGTCGAGATCCAGAACGCGGACGTCATCCCATGGGCGGGCAGGAGCCGATCGTGGCGGTGAAGGGAAGGGACCAGGAACTTCAGGGGAGAGTGAAACCTTGTTGCACCCCGAGGCGGTTGACTACCTCAACACGATCAACGGCCTCGACCAGCCCACCAAGCAAGGATGGGAACGTGTCTTGGATGCAGGAGACGCTCTACTTTGTGCAGCTGGCGGAGTTCAAGAAGCGGCTCAGTGGCTATGGGACGCACGAGCAACCCATGGGCTGGCAAATCTGAGAGGAGTCGAGGACCCGTGCCTGGATAAGATCTTACACCCAGACCTTCTGGCCTACCTGAGACATGTGAAGAGGCATGGCATGGAGGCCCGACATGTGGGGCCTCGAGAGCGGGCGACGGCAGGGCTGCACCCGAATGCAAAACGGAACCTGGAGCAGGTCTATGCCCAGATCTGGAAAGACGTCAAGAAACATCGGGTGTTGGTTGCAAGCCAGGATCATCCCAAACTGGGCAACACTATGGCTTCCCCTTTCGAAGCTGTCCCAAAACTTCTACCAGATCGCTCAGTGTCGAACGAGGTGAGGGTGGTGCATGACCAGCGACCTGTCAACCAGGGCACACACAAGGACTTCCACCCGCCGGCTCTGCAGCCCACACACGACCAGATTGCCAGAAGGGTTCTGTTCGCATCGCTACCCGGGATGCCAGGTCCACATCGCCAAGAAGGACATCTCTGGGGCTTTCCGCTTGCTTTGGGTGGCACCCGCGGATGTGGAGCTCTTCGCGGGGGACCTCCCTTGGAAGGATGCAGCAATGCCGGATGAGGAGGGCCACAGCGGAGAGGTACGTGGACGCCCACTCACCGTGCTCTACCTCGTGTCCTCTTTTGGGTTCTCGGGCTCTCCGGGGGAATGGACCCCGTGGGGAAGAGCCACGGAGGAGTTCCATAGAGCGCATCGACCTGGACTACCTCGCAGAGACGGAGCATTGGGTTTTGACTGCAAGATCCTGGTCGACGATGCGGTGTTGGTTGAACCACTCTTGGGCTTGAGACCTTGGATCTCAGCTGCATGTTATGAGACAGGCGTCAAACAGATGCTGGGAAAAGAGGCTGTGAACCGGGAGAAGGACGCCATCGAGGGACAGTTCAAGGAGGAGCAGGTGATCTGGGGACTGACTATGAACGCGGCTTCGGAGAAAGCTTTCTTGCCAGAGCGGAGGATCCTCAGAGGGTCGTATTTGTTGGGGGACAGTGCCTTCGACGCGGGGGAGAAGTGTGTGACGGTCCGCCAGGTTCAGCAGTTCAGGGGCATCACGACTGGTTGGGCGATTGTGGTGAGGGGCCTGGCGAATGAGCTCAAGGCGGCGGACATTTTTCTCTCCAACGACGAGGGGGGTCTTCCAGCTCGGCCTCGAAAACTGGGCTACAAGAACGAACTCTTGGAGGTGGAGGATGCCTGGGAGGACCTTTGGAGCCTGTTTGAGGTTTGCAGATGGTTGTGCGCCAGGTCCGACAGGTGGGAGACGCATTTTGGCACCACCTTGAAGGAGCTCCTCCCTGTGAAGGAACGATTGAGCCTCCCGAATGAGTGGAAGGAAACTGTGTGGGTATCCTCAGACGCTACTACTCAGGTGATTGGGGCCATCGACTGGACCTTTGGGGCAGCCGCTAGGGCAACAGTCACGGAGCTAGAGCCATGGCTGATGGGGGTAGCAGAACAAGAGATGCAGGAGGACGGAGACATGAGGGTTCACATCTCGGAGATGCTTTCGCTGGTGGCCTTTGTGTGTGAGCGTGGGCCTCTTTGGAAAGGGAAGGTGGTGCTCTACGCCGGGGACAACTCCACGGTTAGGCAGTGGGTCTGCAAACGTCAGAGTGGGTCACGGGCGGGCCGACTACTAGTCCGAGTCCTGAACCTTTGCGAGATGAACTACGGATTCACCCTGGTGGGGGGGTGGTGGAGGACCTTCCACAACGTCGACTCCGATTACATCACCAGGTGCAATACGCAAGAGTTCGAGGAGATGCTCGTGAAGAAGGGTTGGGAGAAGGTCGAGCTGGGCCCGGCGATTTCCAAGGCCATTGAGGACACCGCCCGGTTTGGACCCTGCTTCCTGTCCTGGCAGGACCCGGAAGACCGACAGGTGATGCTGCAGCTGAAGGAGAAGAGGCTCAAGCGTTTTGTCGACAAGCCCTTGGGCATTCCCTGGGACAAACTCAGAGTTATTGAGCTGGCCAGTGATGATAGATGGCTGAAAGACTTTGAGAGTTTGGCCCCTGAAGGACACTCCAAGATCGGAAGGACCCGAGTCGTCATCGTCGCCACCTTGCCGGTCGATGAGAAAGGGATCCTGGTGGACAAGTTCATCAAGGAGGTCTCTCGATTGCGACCCTACGTGGTGATCTGGGAGGGGCCAAGGTGCGCCCCCTGGGAGAAGGCACTCGAAGGGTTCCGAGCCAACGGTTTGGGTGGTGTGACGTTTGAGTTCGTATCCACAGAACTGGGGGAGTACCTCGCACGCCGAAGGCAATGCCTGGTAGGGGCGCGCTTCAACCTGACGGAGGACATCGTGAAGAGGTGTTTGGTGAAGACAGTGACTGCTCCGCCTTTGGGGGCAGCCGTGGGGAGAGCCAACCAGAGCAAGGACCTGGTTTGGAGAAAGCCTTTCAAGATGGTCATTGAGCCGGGCGTCCCGCGGGCGCCTTTGCTACCGCAGGTGGTGGGTCATGTGTGGGAGTCACCTGAAGGTGAACGAAAGAACGTGCACGGGCTGGCAGGTCCAGGGCGCTGGCCGCTGAGGTACAACGACGGGGAGTTCGAGGTGCTGGAGGTCTTTGATCGTCGAGGGCGACCGGGCCATCTTCGAGTGCTTCAACCACTTGAGGTCTGGCAATGTCAGGGGAGGTCCTGTGAAGCGTGGGACGAGCTCCTTCACCAGGGGAAAACGGTGCAGGAGATAGCGAACCAGGGCAACAGGGCGACGGGGCTTCAGGTGGCATCTAACCTCCTGGTGATGGCGGGAGCTCTGGTCGAGTTCGGGGAGATCCTCGAAGACGATCACAATGCAGGGGCATTGGGCTATGAGCCGTATGATTTGTCCATGGCCAAACTTCTGGCATGGCTGCGAAAGTGGAAATGGCGCCATTTTGGTGCAGGTGATCTTCACGGAGGTGATGGGCGTGCCGGAGGGGACATCCACAAACGCATGGTTTCGAGAGCGGGGGAGGCTTTATGGGTTTGGTGCCTGGAGATTGAGTCCGAGGAGAACCGCGACGAGAGCGAGACCGTGGAGACCTTCAGGGACACCTCAGCGGGGGGGAGACGACCCAAGTTGACGAAGCCGGCCCATCTACCTGCCGGGCAACATGTGTTGCTGGAGCCAAGGAAGGTGCCTTTTGATGGGGCAATCCAAACACAGGTGGAGGAGTGGCTTGAAGAGAACATTGCAGGTAGCAAGGCTACGAGTACCCTGAGAATGTACCGGTCGGCATGGGAAAAATGGGAGGCCTGGGCAACCCGCCAGAGATGGCCTTCGTGCTACCTCGACGTGAAGGGCGACAAGCTTGCGAATGAGGACAAGCTCTTGGCGTTCCTCGGCTACTTGGGCTGGCTTGGTTCCACGGCGGCCTCCATCAAGCAGGCTTTGTTCGCGGTGAAGGACGGTCACAAGCGTGGAGGAGCAGGCGACCCGACCGAAGGCATGTTCAGGGTGTGGATGCTGGTCACGTCACTAGATCGACATGCTGAACGAAAGCCAAGGAGACTGGGGGTGACACCAGGCATGCTGTTGTGGATTGGCAGGAGCCTGTGCAACAGCGACTTGTTCGGAGAGGACCAGGTCGACAAGGCAATGGTGCAGGCTGCGCTTTTGGTGGCTTGGTTCTTCATGCTCCGAGCCAAGGAGTACTGTGACTCAGGAGGAGTTGATGCACACATGATCCTCCGAGGCATGGACGTCCGACTCACGAAGGACGGCTGTGATGTGAAGACAGGAGCGAATGAGGTGACCATTCAGTTCCGCAAAACAAAGGCTGATCAGGAGGCCTTCGGGTCGTGCAAAACTATGGGGGCCACAGGTGAACTTCATCTATGTCCAGTGCGCGCTCTCGAAGAGCTACGTGAAGTGGCTCAAAGACGGTTCTCTCCGGGACCTGAAGCTCACCTACCTCTGTTCCGGTGGGGCAATGGGACAACCCTTCGTCGAACAGAAGTACAAGCAGTACTCCAGAAAGCAGCAAGAGCGGAAGGGCTGCCTGAAGATCGCTTCATGAGCCACAGCCTTCAAATTGGAGGAGCAAGTGCCCTGTTCCAGGCCTCAGGTGAGATCGAGTTGGTCAAGAGAATGGGAAGGTGGAGCAGCTCCGCGGTGCAAAGGTACCTCTATGATGGGGGCGAAGTGCTGAAGGAGTTGTCGGGCCGGATGGCCAGGGTCGACAAGAGGATCCACTATACGTAGTGGACGTTTTTGGTCCTGCGCTGGCTTTGTGGGGGGTTGTGGCTGATGCCATGATCGAAGAGACCCGCAATGCCGCCAAAAAGAGCAGTGGCGCATGGACACGTAGCGGGTTCCAAAGTAGGAGCTTCGTGAAGCGTTGCTTTTGAAGCAGTTGTGGCCACGCCGGCCTTTGGAGGTTCAAGAGGACCTGAATGGTCCTGGGTTTTTCCAGGGCCCACCCTCAGCCTCCCTGGGTTGTGGCTGATGCCATGATCGAAGAGACCCGCAATGCCGCCAAAAAGAGCAGTGGCGCATGGACACGTAGCGGGTTCCAAAGCAACTAAGAGCATAGTCTAAACATCTTCGGGTGTTCTCGGACACCTCATACACAAACTACAAGCATAGGGAAACATTGAAAGGGATCTTTCAATGTCCTCAAAACCTCGCGAACCTCATTCAAACAAGCCAAAAACTCTCTATGGCTTTCTTTGCGGTCTCTAAACAAGTGGTATGGAGTCTTCGCTCCTCAGTACTATAAATTCTCACACCCCCTTTCGAAGCTCACATGCCACTTTGGACAGTGGTCACTCGCTGTTCCAGTAAGCGCTTGCGCTCACAGCAGCTACACAAACCAAAAGAGGTGACTTTCTTGCCTCGCAAGTATTGGCATTGACGGTCAAGGTGGAATTTGGACCCAGTCGAAGTCACAAAAACCTCAAGTACCTTGTTCACTGCATTCATCTTCGTCCACTCGGAGGTTGCAGTGTTCTCAACACCACTCGGCCGGCCAGCAGCGCTCGACGCAGCAGCACCTGTAGAAGCAGCAGCAGGGACTCTCTCTCTCAACAACGGCTCTTGCTTCTCTGGCTTATCGGCCATCACCCTCTTCTGTCCCAAAAGGCTCTTCGCCATTCCAGCAGCGCCAAAAAGCTTCACAAGCAAACTCAGCGCGCCATATATGCCATACAACGCCAGCGCAGCAATGCAGCTGCCCTCAAACGACAACATGGCTTCCCGCGCGGACGCCCCACACACACAAATGGCTGCGGAAAAGTTCGGCGAAGAAAAGTTCTCCGAAAGGAAAGAAAAGATAGGAAGGAAGGGACGACTCAAGGGTCATTTCGACATGAGCACGGCTTCCTGAAAAACAGTCTCACTGTTCAACTGGTTTCAAGTCTCTCGAAGTAAGGTGGTCACGCAGACCGAGACAAGATTCATGAAGTACCTTTGTCAAAAACCTGATCCAATTTCATCGACTCTCGACAGACTCTACAGCGAACAGTCTAGAAGGTGTGAATCATCACAGTTCAAAAGCTATTGAATTCCAGCGGCATCTCATGCACACGTATTTTCACATCGATCATCGAAAGCCTCATCCGCAAGTGTCATCAAGCTATCTGTGCAGCAACAAAAGCAAAGGCTCTCAGCCAGTCGGTTGCTCAGCTTGGGTTCTCACTTCAAGGATGCACAGATGCAAAAACTCTTCACAAGAAAACGAGCAAATTTCATTGAGTACCTTTCAGTATCATGGTAATCAACTGCATTGAATGGTGCATGACTCTCATCGCAACGACATTGAAAGCAAGAGTTCAACCGCTGACTCAAAAACGAGTTCGAACTCTGAATCCTGAAAATTTTGCCAATTCGAAGTCCACTCTGGGTTTCCAATCCCATCGAACAAGCATGACATTCACTCTGATATGCCATTCCGTGCTTTTCGAAGAATTCTGAAGATCTCGACTCTTCCAGTACTGATTGCTTCTCGGCAGTTCGAACGAAACAGTGACAGATACTCCTTCAGATGACTTGATCTCATCAAGATACTTTCCAGGTGACTTTAAAAGATGGAAGAACTCTTTCTCGCGCTTCTCATTCCTTCCCCAAAAATTCAAGAGAGGGGATCCGCCTTTGCAAGGAAGAGAAATGTGCACGAGACATGCCACCTGAGATCCATGCGGGCATCGACTGAATCCATCACGGAGCAGGGTCAGCACCTTATTGCGAACACCGATCTCCTGAAGGTTTGCATGGATTCCGATGTATCGAACATAGTCAACTTCTCGACAAGATCTTGCGATGACTGACTCTTTGCCACAAGCTACTTCTAGCACAGTATATCGAGGATACCTGAGTTGATCCGACTCTCGGATGATTGAAACGGCTGAGTCACACTCAAAAGTCACTCTTGACAACGTTTCGTTTGAACATCTTAGCATCACACTTCGCGGGGGCATTGAGGCCAACAGCGAAAAGATGGTCACATTCTGCTCAGCTGTCAACACTCCAGTACCATGGCATGCGATGCAGCATTGAACCGGTCTGGATGTCCCTGAACTGGCCACTGAACTTCCAGTTTGGCCCATTGTTGCGAAGTGTGTTGAGATCCTAATCCCATGATCCTTGTGATATCGCTGGTCGAACCGATCGGCGATTCCACTGAAGCTGGTGCTCCCCAATCAATGAGCGGCCTTGCCGGTGAAGACTTCGGCAAAACAGGCGCCACCATGGGAGACTTGGGTACCTCAGCTGGTCCCGTCACAGGGAATCCGATCTCAGTTGGAGGAGGCGGTGGTTCCTGGTGAGCTGTAGGAGGGCTATCCAACGGCGGTGGAGGAGGCTTTGGGCTCACCTTCGGTGACACACACTCCTCAACAGTCTGCTCTGGCAATCCCTCAGGGTGCTTCGTGGGCGACGAATCCTTTGTCCGCTCTACCCCACTTGGCTTCGGCTCTGCCGGAGTTGCAGCGGCATCGACCAGAGTTGGGCTAACTGATCGAAAGGCTTCACTCGGAGTCTTTGGAGCCATCTTTGGAGGGGTCTTGGGAGGTTCAATCCCGATTGCCTTCGGAACAGGTACTGGTGCCTTTGCAGCCTCACTCTTTGGAGCCTCGCTCGCAGATGTTGCCTTTGCAACTTCCTTTGCAGGAGTCTTGGGCTTCTCAGCTGACTTCTTCGGAGGAGTCTTCGGGGCAACTGGCATCGCCTTCTTCTTTGGCGGAGGTGGCATAGGTCCCTTCGGAGGAGTCTTCGGTGGTGGTACCGCAGGAGGACGCTTGGGCGGCGCAGCCTCGCTGTGCTTTGGCCTATTCTTTCGAGGATCCTCCGGAAGCGGCCGCATGTAGCTGGGACGCTCGCGATTCTCCTTGGTGAAGGGCTTCATCTCCAACCTCTTGCGCTTCCTGCGTAGCTTTTCCTTGAGATCATCAGCTTCCTCTCCATCATCTCGAGGCCATACCTCATCCGATGTCTCATAGCTCTGATGCCTTCTCTGGGCCTCTTCACTCTTCCTCTTCTTCAGCAGCAATCTCAACCTCTCATCTGCTGACATACCTGGAGCTGTTGGGATCGGCAGTGCATACTTGGGCGCAACAGGGCTGTAGCCAACTTGCGACACACTGTCGCCTGGGCTGATCTGTGAGCTCAAAGGATTCTCAAATCCATAGTTGGGCAATGCATCACCTCGAAGGTCTTCATCGCTCTTTGGATCGATCCGTTGACTCAGTTGGATCTTCCCTGTGGTCAAACTCACTGACCTTTGTCCCTGGATGCACGAGGCGGCCACATGGCCATAGTTGCCACAGATCCTGCACTTCAGGTTGCGGACGGGTCGAAAGCTGAAGCCACTGAAGGCCCGAATCATCCTTGGCTTGGGCGCCTCATTGGGGCCACGCAAGGGGACCTCCACCCTTCGGCCGCGACGAGCATCGAAGAAGCCACGCACCGTGCCACGAGGACGCGGCATTGCCTTGCTCTTCACCTTTGCCTTCGCCTTGGCCTTCGGACGTGGAGGTACTCCATCCGACTCTTCATCCTCTTCTTTCACACTCTTCGCCTTGCGCTTCTTTGCAATGCGCTTCGGAGCTCGCTTCACCTCGGCATTTGGACCAAACAAAGTCCGACGCAAGCTCTTGAGCAGCTTGATCCTCGTCACTCGAGACGGCTTGGAGGCAATTGAACTCTTCCGGGAGCGTGAAGGGGTAGCTGAAACACAACACAATGATCCAGTTTCTGCAGTGCCTGCCTCAGCTGGAGCCTTTGGCTAGACCTCACCGGTCAACACCACTGGGGCAGAAGGTTCTGCTGGAACTTCATGTTCAGGATCTGGATTCGCAGGAGCTGTAGGTGCCTCGGTTGCTGGAATTGTAGATGCCTCAACAGCCGGAGCAGTAGGTACCTCAGCAGTGGGAGCCGACACTGGCTCCTTTGGACTCGGGACAGCTGTAGGTCCGGCAGGGACCTCTGGTGCCTCAGGTGCCTCTGGTACCTCAGGTGCCTCAGGAACAGCGCTCTCAGCTGTACTCGCTTCTCGCAGGCGCTCGCCTGTTGACCAATCCACACGAGTGGTCGCTTCCGAACGAAGGTCATCCTCTCCATCCATCGCTGCGGGTTCCGGAAGCGCGTACCTATGTACCTGAGCGACGAGTTGAGCCACCTCGTGGTCCAGAACAGCTGCAGGAGAGACACATAGTCCGAAACAGCTGCGGAACAGAGCAAAGCAGACTCTCAGCTCTTGCAAACAAGTCCAAAAACTGAACATGACTGAAAACATGTGTGAAATCCAACAAATCCAAGAAATCCATGAAGTCCAAAAAGTTTATACTGAAAACAAAGGCTTTCTCAAAGCTAGCAGTGCATTGACATGTTGACTCTCAACAAGATTGTGGACATGTTGACTCCCAACATCGTGCTGCTGCCCCCTTTCAAGATGATCACCACACAGGCAACATTGCCTAAACACAAGCGTATGGAGAAACCCTTGAAAGGATGTGTCGACTACACTGCTCACCGCAGCGGCTCGCAAGGGCACAAAACCTAACAGCACGTGATGCTTCAGGAAGGTTGCCAACGCCAAACACTTTGTCAAAGCATCCGCTAGGTTCTCAGTGCCGGGGACATGCGCACACTCGAGGATTCCTTTAGCCATGAGCAAATCCGAATCTCCACATGGCGCGAACGGCAGATCAGAAGCCTCGAGGATCATCTTCCCACTCAGGGAATCTGTGAGCCATGCCAAACAAAGG